CTGAGCATTATGAACGAAGAGCTAAAATATGACGAGTCCATAGGAGGACATACAGCACTAGTTCATGGAATTCCGAAATTAATTTTTGTTCTTTAAAACTCTGTTAGACAAAAGAAATATTATTGTTTAAATGTTACAGGGATGGAAAGATTAGATTTTTAAAAAGAAAAGGAAGGGTAAAAAACAAACAACAATCATTAATTTCATAACAGATCTTTTAATTTGGTGCATTTTGCGTTTTGTAGGTGGTTTTTATAAAAAGCCATTTCCGATTTTGAAAACAAGTTTCTTCTTTATGAATTTTATGTCAAATTCTTTTTGAATGAATTATGTCTGTTCTAAGTTACGACATTCTAGTACAAATTTTGTGCGAGATATTCAGAAAAAAGAGTTGTAATTTTTTAGGGATCACCATAACTAGTTGTGTTCAGTATGACTACTGACACTTTGCGCTCACAAGTCTCCTTAAAACTAAAACTCGTGGAACTTAGTTTAGAATAGACTCGATCTAGACCTTTTATATACGTCTGACAAGTGCACAGACTGGAAACCTTGTGACCAGCTACCGTTGAATGGGAGTAACACGATGCAGTCTTCCGTCACTTTGTTTATTCTAGTGAGTCTACACAACTGATAACGTTTGGTAAGTTCTTAATGAAGGAGAAGGAAACAGGTGGAAAGATTGGCAGGGAGGTGGGAGTAAGGGTGGCGTGGACGAACTGACAAAAAAGCAAAACAAAACACAAAACAAAACAAAAACAGACAAAGAATCTTGGCACTGCGTGCACACTTTCACGAAAAGTCTTGACAATTGCGAAATGTTTATTTTTTTATTGGTTCAATTCCTTGTTCCTCTCTCACCAGGCCAAAGCGTCCGTTTGTCTTTCAAAAACTGGTCCCATAACTGATAATTTATTTGTGCCGCGACAAGGAGGAATCAGGCGCTCGTCATTTTTTGGGCATACACGTTGCTGGTGCATGTCTTAAGCCTTGTTCATTGGCTTGCTTTAGATGAAAAAATACACATCTATCTTGAATAGAAATTGAGATGTTTGCAATTGAAGGAAGTGGGGATCACCTGGTGTCAGAGGCAAAGTTAGCGAGAAAAGGGCCACCAAAGTCCATCTATCTGTCTACCTCTCTATCTATCTATCTATCTATCTATCTATCTATCTATCTATCTATCTATCTATCTTATATGTTGAGCACGTAACTCGTCCCGTCCGTGGCCAAGTTCTCACGGTACCAACCACAAACTCCCCTGACCTCCACCTGCGGACACGGTAATGGGAGACACCCGACTCAGGAGCGAGCTCTGCAATAAGTGATGAAGGGAAGAACACTTGCAGGTGTAATTATCTGGGTTAATAGCACCAACGTGAATGACCTACAGTCGGTAAATTAGATTTCTGTAGCAATAGCTGTGCAAAACACGACGAAAGGAGATGGGTTTATGCTATAATGTTGCAGTGCAATGTCCGGGCCCTCCATTCTGGGAAGACAACATAATGATTATTGTAAAATGTTGCCAGATCAAGAGGCTACTAATAAAGAAAAGCAAGTGAGTTTTTGGTAGGTGCTCTGGTATGGTTTGCTCCTTCTTTTTTATCAAATATCTGTCATACGTATCCCTCTTCCTATTTTCAGCTTGCTACTCTTTCGTAACACTTCTAATCTTGGGCTCTTATAATATGACTTAATTGTGTTGCAAGTGCGGTTAAAGATCATTCTAAAACAAAGTTATGTATCAGCTTTCTCACCTACACGGCTGTGTAAAATACCCCAAGACCTTATTTTTCTCCTTTCAGAAACTAAATAGACGTAGGACTTGAACTCAGAACCGTTATGCTCCGTTTTCTGTGTTATTTACTTTGTCCTTTCACTTTTATTACTATTAGTTAACTATGATTTTCATTGTTCCTTTTCATTAATCTCACTGTGTCTACTTATCATATTTAAAGAATCTGTATTTACTCCAATGCACATGCCATAACTGTATAATTTTGAGTGATTTCATCTGGTTTATTTTTTTTATGCAGCTAGGAGCATGCCATTTGGTGATACTTTATCCCTCGTTCTCCATGAAGGTATTCACAGCTGGCAAGTTTAGTTTTCACAATCGATTAAAGTAACTTAAAGAGGGCTTTTGCATTACACGATTAGTTCAACTATGTTATAGACAGGGTACAGGCTACAGGCCAATATGTTTATAATAGGAAATATGTACATGATTTACAATGTGTATAATAGCAAAATGTTTAGTTTTGAATGTCTTGAACAGGAAGTGTCAGACCTGTCAGACATATTCTATTTAGATCTGGGGCCAGGCGCTTCTTGAAACACTTCTGCTTTCGAGCAATCGTTGGTAATATTCGGTTATTTCTATACCACGAATGGAGTTACTCAAGACTGTGTAATGACTGAAATTTATCAAACACTTGATGATACTAAAGTAAAGTGTGGACATTGCTTGGGCATTCGGCTTGAAAATGAGCGAAATGAATTATTTTGCTTCACAGTCTCACGCACAAGATCTCAATTCGATTCTCCTGTTGGGAGACTTATCTTTACGGAGGACACATCTGCCCTAAGCTGACAAAACGCCTTTTTTTTCATTTTTGGCACTATGTAAAAATGTTTTTTTTCTATCGATAGCCTGGTCAGTTATCCCTGCTTGTGTGGAAAAATATCAAAGTGAAACTGTGACTAGTTTTTGAATAAATACGAATTCAAATTTCGGAAGAACCTCTCTTTAAAGGGTTGCACTGCCAAAACTCCTTTTTATTTCGAAACTGCTTTGTCAGCTTATGGCAGAAATGTATTTTCGTCTTTCTGCTGAGGTGTAGTATCCCTCTCAAACTGGGTTGGCCATTGTGTCGATGGAGACGTAAAACACCTATACTAAAAAATGAATAAAAGCGAGCACCCCCCTTTTCTTCCCGAGTGTAGCCCACTTTAACCGCTATTTTGTGCCGTCTCGAATTCCCATCACATTTCTAGTTTGTATTCAGAACAGCAGCCAAGTTCAGCTGTAGCACAACCGACTAATTCGAAATTACCATAACCGACCACTTCCGAATCCCAGCAACCCCCTGTTTCAAGTTTCCCGTGACCGTCTTGAGCAAGTTTCATTAAATCAAACTTCACTTATTTCCCCACCGCTTTTTTCATGGGGAATATAGCTAATGCACCCTTATCAGAAGGCAGACTGTGAGGCGCGGCAATTTGACACTCGCAGATTTTTTTGGGTGTTTTTTTTTGGGGGGGGGGGGGTATTTGTTTTTCGAAAATTTTAGTCTTGTCTCCTGCCAAAAGAGAAGCTCTTGGTCTGAAAAGAGCCGAATGTATTGACGAAGCTATTTTGTTCACCACAGTTTTTTTTTTTTAAAGCAATAACTTGTTCATCAGTTTGATGTTACCAAGTTGTCACCCTTAGAACATTGTTTTTCTTCAACTAGTAACACAATAGCGTGTTATTATTGTGTGTGTTTTTTTAATGCTCTACAGCTCCTTGGTTTACGCAAGCTGCAACTTGTCCATTAGTCTTTTCAACCAGATCGTTTTCTTGAAGATCCTTGTTCAGTCTCCATCTCTGTTTTTAAATCATGCTACTTTGTGGCACAGCTTCACTTTCAAATAGGCAGTTCTCTCTGTCTTCTGTATTCAGCCGTTCCCCGATGAGAATTTCGTTTTGCATTGCAATTATGATATTACGACCGGTTTACAATAATAATATTGATTGAGTCATCATTTTAAAAAATCCGTTCAGTGCCTTTCTGTTGATCCCACCGCATGTATCTCTTTCAGTGATGTTCTGTTGTGCCTGTTTTACCTGTTCGTTTATTATCCCCCCCTCCCCCTCCTTTCTCTCTCTCTCTCTGTCTCTCTCTCACTCTCTCTCCCCCTCTCTCTCTTTCTCTCTCTCTTGCTCTCGCTCTCTCTCACTCTTATCTCTCCCTCTCCCTCCCTCCCCCCATCTCTCTCTCTCGCTCTCTCTCTCCCTTCCCCTTTCTCTCTCTCTGTTCTTGATTCAGAGATGGAGAATCACACTATTTATAAAGCATATTATTGTTTCCCTTACCGTCACCCTTTCCTTAAATCTCATGAACACAATACAATCGTATAATGTTTTCGTATACCTTTCTGACGTAGCTCCCACTTCGGGACGGAAAAGGTAAAACCCACAGAAGAAGGCCAACGCAATAATAAATCTTTCTCATATGTTGAGATAGATAATATTAATTCTACAGTATTCAATGGCGGTGCAGTCGGCATCTCCATCCAAATAATATTATGATAGAAGTAAACTAAACCCGTTATAGTAACAGCATCAACAAGCACGTTTACTCACATATCGACGCTGTCAACTTCGGCTAGCAGCTGCAGAGGAGCAATGTTAGCAGCAGCAACCACTTTAGTAAAGAAATCCACTTTCTTCTTTAAGAGACTACCATCACCACCACCGCCATCATCTTCTTCATCATCATCATCATCATCATCATCATCATCATCATCATCATCATCATCATCATCATCATCATCATCATCATCATCATCACTACTGCAGCACCAGCAACAACAAGAAGAGATATTGAAGCAGAAGGAACACAAACAGCGGCAGCAATGATGGCCTGTTGAACGCGGAGTCAACCCTAAGCTATGCTATATCTGTTAATCTGACAGCATCGATTGTAGTTCCACAAGTCGCTGAATTTACACAGCATGACCGGTTTTTATATTCATGCAAGTTCCATTTTGTAGGAGTTTGGATATATTTACACAAATTATTTTTAACACCTTCGCTTGGCAGTATCAATATGTATTCACTTCATCTGAGGTCAGTCTTTTCAGATTCAGAGACCAAACTTTTTGTTTGGGTGCTCCTCACAAACATCGCTGGAAGAAGTCACCCAGATGTAAAAAAAACAACTTTGAAGACACCCAGATGTTTTGGGTTTTTTTTATATTTAAAAAAGCTTTCTGTTTTCCCCCACAGATTTACGCGGGAATAAACCTGGACGAGGTCTGCCTTGCCGGCCTTAGATTCTATGTTTCACGGTCCTGCAGTGACTTCTTCGTGACTTGTCAGCACAACGCCCGAAGACTTACCACGTCACCCTCACTTCACTGTACCCCACCCACTCCAATCCAGTCCCATGTCAGTTATATATATATCCAGCGCCTCATAACCTCTCTTTGAACCATCGTCTATTTTGAACGCCTCCCCGCCCACAAGAGCCAGCAACTGCTGCTGCTGTAAGCCAACATGTCCGTCACTGGTCACTCGGCGCGTGGGTCTCTGCAGGTATCGCGCACGGACCGTGGTTCGATGCCCGGAGAAGATGCTGAGATCTTGGAGGTGAACGAGAAACACGGCCCGTTGTACAACGCTATCCCCTGCATGCCTGTCGGGGTGGCCGTGGTGCTGTGCATTCTCAACATTGTCATACCGGGACTAGGTGAGTAGCTTACTGTTCTTCTTCTTCGTCTTTCTTGTGGTAGGCGGAAGAGAAAGGCATGTGTGTGTGTGTGTGTGTGTGTGTGTGTGTGTGTGTGTGTGTGTGTGTGTGTGTGTGTGTATGTGTGTGTGCATGCGTGCGTGTTAGCGCGCGTGCGTGCGAGTGTGTGTGTGGTTGGAGGGAGGAGGGCATTGTCATGCCGGGGCAAGGTGAGTACCTAATTGTTTATATTCCTCGTCGTGGCAGGCAGGCATGTATATATACGAACGTGAGTGTGTGTGTGTGTGTGTGTGTGTGTGTGTGTGTGTGTGTGTGTGTGTGTGTGTGTGTGTGCAAGTGTGAGTACATTGTATGTGCGTGTGTGTATGTAAGTGTGTGTGTGAGTAGGTATGTGTGTGTTTGTGTGCGTGTCTGTGTGCTCGTGTATGTGTGTGTGTGTGCGCGCGGGCACAAGCGTGCGTTCGTGCATGTTTAACCACATACGCTTAAACTTGTGTAATATGATGGTACTTTTTCTTGCTTTTTGTGCTGAGTTATTTAGATTTTTTACCTATCTTGAGTTATATAACACAAAACATTATCCTTTTCTTACGCCTGCTCGAAGTTCTTTCGACACCCGTCTTCACAACCAGGTTCGTTCTTTTACGATGAGTGTTGTTGGCATTCATTGTAACCCGTTTCCTCCTTTTACAAGGTTTTACATTCACCAAAAATAATGTGTCGGAGGTTTCAAAACTTCGGAAGCCTGCATGATGCATCTTTCACACCTCGTCTCAATTAAAGCAATACTTTTTGCCGATCCTTCGGCAAATCATTGTGCCAACTGGCTCATCAGCTTCTTATTCTAACTCTATTATTCGGTCCCGTGTGCTGCTTAGAATCTATGCTTCTCTACAACTGAACAATACTGTCTTGCCATCTTCTTTCAAGTTGATGTCTACTTCGGCACTTTTCTTTCCTCTACCCACCCCTCTTCACCAAGTCAATAATTAAATAGATAGACAGATAAATAAATAAATAGTAAATAAATAAATAAAAGAATAAAAAAATAAATAAACAATAAATGAATAAATAAAAAAGATGAAATAAAAAAGATGAAATAAAAGATAAAATAGAATTAACAAATGAAAAAACTTGAATTATCCACGGGGCCTCAATATCACCAAGTGTGTTTTCAGTGAACAGCCATTTTTCTACTACATGTATCAGATTGCAGTGTATTCATTTCGGTGCCCGTGCCTGCATTTCTCTGTCTTTTCCCGTTGTCTGTTTATCTTTTGGTTTATGTTTATATTTTCTGGAAAAATTGAACTTGCTGATGTGTGTCTCATCTCCGTGTCTTCCTGTCAGCTAATGCTTATCCATTTATCCATGTGATCAACCTTTTCGAAATCCATTTGTTTCTACTGTTCAACTGTATGTTGCCCTATGTGTTTCGTTCATCCTAGCTTTATTTAGATCGCAAACCCTTTCCAATTTTTGACACATCCCCGGAAATAGGATTTTCCAGACGAGCGCCCGCCATCTGGGCATTTTATTTTTACCAAAGCCGCCACGCCAATATCGCCACTGTGTATTTCAACTAGCACTACCATCAACACCACCACTAACACCACCGCTACCACCATCACCACCACCACCACCACCAGCAGGTGGGGGGGGGGGGGGGGGGGGGGGGGCTGAACGTAAGTCTCGAATCTGTGGGAATTGTAACATCCTCCTCATCACTGGTTTGCAATGAGTAGTTCATCAATTCGTATTTTTGTTGTTGGTGAAGGGGCCGTCGAAGAACAAACAAAAATTAATGAATACACTAAAAAGGGAGGATGGGAAAGGGAAATTGAGGAGGAGGGGGGGGGGAATGAAAATGCAGGGGTGAAGATGAAAGACCGTTGTAGATATCACTGCCCGTCGATGCAGGTCAGTAGTCTATGTATTCATTGGCCATACGCCACGAGAAATGAATAAACATGAGAGCAAATAAATCACCAGAAAATACACGCAGAAATCAGAAAGAAAAAAATGGAATTGGATTGAAAAGTATAGAGAAAACCAAAACCAATGACTACATACCAAGATGGAATCCATAAGGAAAGAGACAGAATGGAATACCTAAAAGCACTTGAAAGTTGCATTTAGCTTCGGACCATAAGAAAATGGAACCTGGCAGAGTTGAGGACTATGCCCAGGGTAGAAGTATATGGAGAGCTGTTGCTGGTGGCCTGTACTTCGCTACAGGATGAGAAAGGCTGATGATGATGATGATATGACTTTTCTATCTGGCAGTATTTTTCCTTGTACAAAGCATTTGTTTTCCTATTTTCATCTTTTCACAGCAAGCATCAATGCCCAAACACCCCTCCCCCCTCGCACAAACACACACACAAACACACACACACACACACACACACACACACACACACACACACACACTCACACTCGCATGCACAACGTACTCACACAACACAACACACATGCTACACACCACATCTGAAATACATAGTTTTACACACACACACACACACACACACACACACACACACAC